CAGGTAGGTAGGTAGGTAGGTATGCTGTGGTCAACAGATGGTTCTTGTTCTTGTTTTTGTTTATTTGTGATTCTAGCCGCCAAAAAACAGCAATTCAGCACTATGTGGTTGAGTTCCGTTGTCTCAGTGTTTCGTACGCCATTGTCCACGGGTTGCAGATGTTGTGCGCTTGGTTCGCAAAACTAAGTGTGAAGATTAATGGGCACGTTAAGACACAACCTTAACCAATGTTACCGAAGCTCTGTGACAGAAAACCTCAAAGCCACATTGTGCATCTGCCTGTCAAGAATGTGTGGCGCATACCCGAGGCTTCCCGAGCCCGAAAATTGAATCCACCTTTGCGGCATTCCGACCAACATTCGCATCACGTACATGCTGAGGAATTTGCAAAAACTTCAATAGTCAAAAGTCTTGGTCGCCCAAGTTGCCTAAGAATCTTGTTGCGCGGCTCATTCATTGCAACGCCTGCTTGGAAGCGCTGAGGCTTAGCACTCGGTCACGAGGGGGCACGCGGTCCCCTAGACCTCGATGCACTGGAGGTCGAAAGCCTTCAGTGCTTGACGAGCACATCCGGCTGTTCAGGGTGTTTAGGGTGTGGACTTGAACGGCCATGGAGCTGTGTTTGCGACGAAGGAAGTTCACGATGCTGCTGGCTTGGGAACCTGTCTGTCGACTCCCCTGCAACTGGAGGTGTCAGTTCTCCGGCTCACCAATGCGAGCGAAAGTTCGAGGTCATACCTCAAACCGATGATCGACAGCAGCCTGGCGCAACCTGCTGCCGAGTTCTTTCAGTTGTAGGAGCGACGACAGTAGACAACTCAATCGAACGCGCATGATGAGGTATCCGGACGATGCTCGAGAAGGACCGCCCTTGAGCAAGGCTTGCAGGCTTTACCATTTGGACATTGCATACCTTAGCACGCACAGCCGGCTTGGAACATCCGTCGTGTAGCCTTGCTTCAGCCTTGATCAGAGTGTGACTGTGACAGGAGCTGATGCCAGATATCTCCAGGCAGTACAGTCGCCGGGTAAGCATTGGAACTTATGTTGCAGGTGCATCCAAACCCAGCAAAAACCCTGGCCACCTGACCCTCGCAAAAGCAGTCTGCCACGAACGTGGCAGAGAAATGCCAGCTTCCAGCTTTACCTTTAGCTCCTGGGGCCTCGACCTGTGCCGTGTGTCGGCAAGTTGGGTCTACTTGTATCGTGTTGTTGTAGCTCTGAGGCCTTGCACAGAAGATGTTGGACGATGCGGCCAAAGGCAACGGGGCTGGTTCTAGAAGTCGTCCGTGCTGGATGCTGCTCAAGGTAAACTTATCTCCAACTAACCAGTTTTTGACAGGCTTCGCCGCATGCAAGGAGCCGTGGAATGCCACGCAGGCGCGAGCCCGGTTGGGCAGCACAGCTGCCGTTGTTCTTCGTTTTTTGGAGCATGCTAGGGTGTTAGGGCTTCCATTTGTTCTTTGTTCCATGTGCATATGTATCATGTATATATACACATATGATGTGTATAGGTACATGCGCTCATACATACATACATACATACATACTTACTTACTTACTTACTTACTTACTTACTTACTTACTTACATACATACTTACATACTTACATACTTACATACTTACATACATACAAAAAAGTACATACATACATACATACATACATACATACATACCATTTCGTAGCTGCGCAGCGGTCAAAAGGCCAAACTCAGATGGGAGGGTTTTGAAGCTGCCCATGGTGGTCGACAGCAGGCAGGGGAGGCACTATTATAGCGGCATGTTCGCACTATTTATGCCCTCTGTCACGACGAGGGTGATTCCTACTCATGTCAACTGCAGGCGGCTTGGGAACAAGCGTCCTGTGAGCATGTGACAGAGTGCGAAGTTCTTGCGGTGCTCACTGCTATGGAATCCGGCACCACCAGTGGTCTGTCAGTTATGGGGGAACAGCGCCGATGACATGAATTATACGCGTGTGGTTTTCATACCAGAGAGACTGCCTCTTCAGTCAGTCTTCGGCAATGTGCACACGCGCACATTGGAGTTTCCACCCTATGCACATATGCACATATTCATATGTACATGCTATCAAAGCCACGTAGACACGGCTACGAGCTTGATACGACGGCAGTGTTTCGTAAGATGCCATGCCATGACATGGTAGAATCTACAAGCCACTGGGCCTCTCCGAAAAAGCTGCCCCCTCTGCACTGCACTGCCAAAAACCGATTTCCACGACAAAAAGCTCCCTCATCCCGGAAGCCCGAAATCCAGGCAAGGCGACGAAAACCAAGCCTGAACTGCCAGAGGTGGGGGAAGTCCGGGAGCAGCACCAGAACTGCCGGAAGGAAGAGAGCAGCCTCGTCGTTGATGCGAGCCTGGGCTCTGTAGTAGATTGGATTTCGGGAGGACCGTTCTAAATAGTAGGATCCTGGTGGTAAGCACCCTTGAAGAAGGTGCCCCTGCCTTTGGGAACGGAAGGCCTTATCTTGCAGCCTAGCGAGATCTACTCTACCGACTCGGCAGAGCCAAGGAACGACACCTGCGACGACGCTCAAGTCCTTGCGGAAGTCAAAGTACAGAAGTGCGAGAAAATGAAAGGCTCGAGCTCGGTTAACTCTGCTATCGACTCTTAGATCAAAGCTGCTTACGCACCACCCGCTTGCCAGGTGTCGATGCATACCCGCCGGAGGCCCCTGCAGTTTGTGACAAGGCCGGTCATCTCTTGATGTAGACGATACCTTTGCATCTTTCCTGCTGGCAAGAAACGGGACTGGGAACATGATGGAACCGGAGTAGTTTAGGCTGAAAGCTTGGCTTTGGGGGAGTCTGGGAGACACTGGCAGAGAGCGCAATTGTGAGTCTTTCATGTCTTCAGCAATGAGCAGAGAGGCGTACAGTACACCCTAAATCCAGACGTCTGATCTAGTCAGCCAAGTGGGTGGGAAAAACACCCTTACAGCAAATCATATACTCGTACCATCTTTGGAACCAAGAACCTCATCGGGCTGAGTCCGAGTTTGAGAGCTTGAGCCATTGTGAGTACCGAACCCTGCAGAAGACGAGACGTCTGCTTGGCCAGGACTCGAGCGACGTGTCCTACGAGGTGCATGCTAGGCGCATCCGGAACTTCTACATGCAGATGCTCGGCGAATATGCACTCCTGTTTCTTACCCGAGATGTGCCGTACTGCGGAGCCTCCTGTACAATCGGGCATAACTGTGTGGTCTGGTATGTCGTAGAGTCGTAGAGTACAGTAAAGCAGTAGTGTGAAGCAAACTGCAAGGGAGTTCCACTTCCGGCTGCATGCCTGTGCAGAATCTGAATCCACCAGGGAGCCCCGACGAAAGAAATCTGAATCCACGGAAAATCTCCCCGGAATATACACTGCTCCCTAGTTTAGGCCCTGGCGCACTTTGCAAAGCGGTTCTGACCTTAAATTAAACGGGTCTCAGATTTTGACAAGCAGTGCGCGTTCGAACGTGCACTTTTTGGGGGAGGGCAAGGTTACAGCCCCTCCCCAAGAAGCATTGCTCGACTGCGGAGCTGAGGAAAGTTCATGATGGGCACTCAGTTGCTCCAGAGCACCAGTGCATCACTCTTTGGAATGGCCGTAGCTGTAGTCCCTTCAAGTCGTTCTTTGCAGGTTCCGAGAGTTGGAAGTCTTGCTAGCGCTGAGTTCTTCAGCTACGAACTTGCCAGTTAAGGAGTGGGTCATGGCAGAGGAGGCATGCACAAATGCTATGCAGAAGGCAACTGCAAGAAGCAAGACCTGCAAAGTTCGCAACGATGCCTGCTTAGGTTTAATAAACGGTTTTTCACTTGGAATTTCATTTTTTGTGACAAGTTTTTTCTGGGGAGTTGGGGTCAGTTGTGTTTCTTGCCTTCCCGCTCGTAGAGGTGAGGGGGCTTCACATACGTTGGAGCAGGGGCGCCAGTGGTACTCCCGAGAGTTTACATGAGTTTCCTTGGCATCTTTCCGAGGAAGGCTGGAAAGACAAGCGTGCCTTGGCTATCTTAGAGGAGAGCCTGTCGGAGTCATGACCCCTGATGTACCATCTTCCTGTACACATGCGCCACGGTGGATGCAAACAGAGCACGTACGCAAGTATCCCTGCAGGCATGGGTATATGCATTGTCCGTCTGTTTGCCTGTCCATCATCTGTCTTTCCCTACCTGTCCGTCCGTCCGTCCTTCCGTCGGTCTGTCTGTCTGTCTGTCTGTCTGTCTGTCTGCCCGTATGTATTTATACAAGCATGGATGTATGTAAATACATATGTATGTACGTATGTATGCGTTCACATATACCTTAAGTAATTTGTTCATCATGATACGCAGGGTCGCGCAGCGTCATGCTAATGGTTGGAGGTGGATCTAACTTAAGAAGTTAATGTAGCATATATATATATATGCGAGTGAATATATATATATATATGCGAGTGACTTGCTGTGCGGAGTTTGAGTTGCGAGATCCGATGCTCAGGCCAATCTTGCAATGCCATCCAGAGGACAGGTAAACCCATGCCACTTGCACCTTCTTGCTAAAAATCCAGAACCCTGAGATCCCTAAAGCAGCTTTTTTTTTCGGCTTGCTACAAGACTGTCCTGGGAGGATGCTGGACATGGAGGCCTGCGATGCCTGGACCGAGTGCCTGGGCTGTGCCACGAGACAAGACATCCTCCCTGGAAGATCGTGATATGATAGACTATAAGATAAGACCGTGTAATGCATTTGGATATAGTGTAATAGAAATTCAATTTAATGTAGTAACAGCGTATAGCATATTATACCCATACAATATACCATAAGCTAATCTAACATGAAATCTTATGATATGATATGATATGAATAATATTTTTGTATTCAATGTGGATGCTGTTGCACACGATCCAAGGTACTACCACTGCTCGCAGAACAACTCTTGTCTCCTGGAGGCGACCAATGCTTATGTGGATGTGGCGGCCTTATGCGTTCGTGTTCCGTTTCTCCAATTCTTTCGGGTCGTAGTTGTCGCGAAGCCCAAGCTCCAGTTCCTCATAATGCTTTGCAGATGGTGGGATGTTCACCCAGTCAGAAGACGTTTCGGCAGCGCGGCAATCCCAAGGCCAATGGCACTGCGACTGCCATGCAGCGATCCATTGTGTTGCAGTGGAGGGCCATGAAACGCCAGAGCCCTGAATTCAGGGCATTCGCATCCCGGGATTCCTCCACCGGCCTTCGTACTCACTCCATGTGCCTCAAAAAAAATGCTTCGTGACTGAGGCGGCTTATATTTGCAGCCAGAAGACTGCAAAGCTAGTGTGCCACTTGGGGCCATGCTTGAAACAAGGCATCGAATGCCTGCTGGATGCCCTGGCGAACAATAGAGAAGCGGATGATCTCAGCAATGCCATCACCGAGTGCAGGCGCCTAGGGGCCTAAACGTTCGCGTGAGTAAGTGCCGATGAGCAGGTTTGAACTGCCAGAAAGCAACGTAGAGCTTGTCGCACAGTCTTGACATCCCTGAGCTCCGATCTCAAAGCCTTTGTGTCTGCAGGAACAAAGTGCACAGCACGACTTCTTGGGCCTTGACTTATCCGTACTACAAGGAGTCTTGGCAATCCGACTTCAGAGGTATCCACCGAATCTCTTGGTAGAGGAGAGCAGTAGCAGTGGTGGTAGTAGTAGTAGTAGTAGTAGTAGCAGCAGTAGTGGTAGTAGTAGTAGCAGCAGCAGCAGTAGTAGCAGCAGCAGCAGCAGTAGCAGCAGCAGCTGTAGCAGCAGCAGCAGTAGTAGCAGTAGCCACGGCAGCAGCAGCAGCCGCAGCAGTCGTGGTGGTGGTGGTGGGGGTGCGGGCCGGGTTGGGGGTGGTAAATGATGGTGTTGTGGTGATCTCGGAGGTTTGCAAGCTGAGCGAGTCATAAGCCGTACCCAAGGGCTCCTAAGTTCCATGAAGCTCCCGTTTTTAATTTTAATCCCTAAACCTTGAGGCAAAAATACCCTAAACTCAGGACTGGAAGCCTCAGATGCCCTCCCGGGTCTGTGAAGAGCCTAGCTTTGGGCGGCTCCTCGGCTGCAGATTCGATTTTGGGTAGGGTTTGCGGCAGGGCTCGCGTTTTAGATTTGGGGAATTTGGGGTATTGTTTGGGGGTTGGGGTCTCGTCGGGAACCCGGTTCTCCGTAGGTTTGAGTGCATGTGCAGGTCAGACTTGCTCCAACTTCAGGAATGATTTGCGTGGAAACAGCTGTGTGCCTCTGCCGGGTACAGGCCGTGAACCTTGCAATCACTTTCGCACTTCATCATGGTCTGCTCAGTTCGATAGCATTAGCCGCCTTCCAAATCAAAACTCCAAAATGTCCCTTACAAGTTGGATGTTCGCCAGCAACGCCAGGCCTGGAACCGGATCCTACAAGCGTGATGAGTATGTCGCTTGGTCGGGTAGTGGCTCGAGTTTTGCAGGCTAGCCTTTGACATTCCAGCTATGACCTTTAGCTTGGAACCAAGTTGGACGAGTTTAAAGGGGAAGGATCGAGTCGGTGGTATGAGCTCGGTAAGCTTCAACATCTTCAAACGATGCGCTCAGCCGACTGAGCCTCAGACCCAGGAGACCTTGCCCACGAAAGCGCCCGCCGATGCGTGCTCTGCGGACTGCTGCACCAGGTGTTGGTACTTTTCCTGCCGCTCGGACGTCCAGCTGCGCGGGCACTGACATTCTTTTCACCATGGATAGTTCATCCGCTGCCGCCGCTACCCTCTCATCCAAGTGTTGCTGGGTGCACCTGAGGCAACAGCACCACCGCACCTTGGATGGCAAAGACGTTGCGGTTCCTTCATTGGGGCCACCAAAATAGAATTGCCAGTGCCTGCCCTTGCAGAGTGGCACGCCAGAGAGAGAGAGAGAGAGAAAGGGGATAGACTTGTCGAGCAGAGGGCGTTGAGTTGACTGCCTCCGGCTGCTGACTATGTCCACCGTACTAGAATTCTGCGACTAAGAGCTGGTTAGTTTCAGTCTTTCAGTCTGCCTTGGCTTAGGGGCCAGCCAAACCCATTGAAGCGGCCACGAGTCCATATTTCCGGTTTTGGTGGTTCAGGGCTTTTGCATCTTACTCAGCATAGATTGTTCAAGCTCACACGTTGAATTCCAGACAATCTGCACAAGCTTTTCATCATGAACTTAACCACAACAGCTGCCCAAACATGAACCGCGAAAGCTTTGCAGCCTTACTACAACTGTTAGCTCCCAATTTGCAGCTGCTTTTGCTTCTGGATATTTTGTGTACCCCACATGCGCTACATGACGGAAAGAGCAAAGAGTCCCATGTGATACTTAAGCACGCCATGCATGGATGCATGTCAGCCCCTATAAATACATTCGGGACCGTCTTGCCATGGCCCGTGCACCTGTGAGCAGCATGTCTGATACAGACTCGGATGGGGCAGATACAGGGCACCTGTGCGAGTTGGAGAACTTGCTGCAAGAGGGTGAATATTTTCAGGACGACGATCTCTGGCCCGCATACATGCGCTGTATCGCGGTTTCCTTGGTGCAGTTTGCATGTGCGCCTCTGGTATTTCTGTGTGCTTACAGTGGTCGCGGCTGCGCCGCTGGCATGACTGTAGGTTTCATGCTTCTTGGCTCCACGGCCTTCCAGTATTGGCTGGTGGACACGCTGGTGTCGTGGTTAAAACGGCAGCCATGTAGGGCCACGTGGCAGCAATCCATCGATGCTCTGGCCGACTTTGGGAGTACATGCAGTACGCGTTGTGTCCTGTCAGGCGCATTTACCCTCCTTGTTGGCATGATCGAAGCTATGGATCCTGCTCTGGATGCTTGGGCAGCCGCGAATGTATTCAACCTGTACACCGATGATCTCCGTCTCAAGTTCGAGTCATCTTGGAACCACATTCCGTTGCTAGGTTGGGTTGCTTGGCTGGGATTGCCAGGCGTTTTGCTGTCCATACTTCTTTTCTCGATGCTTTGCCAGCTGTGGTCTTTGTTCGACATCAGTATGTGACTGGACAAAGGCTTTTCGACAAATTCAGGCAAGGTGCAGAGGAAACCGTAGCGTGCAGATACAAGCTTTGGTATCAGTGGAAACATGTCGTCGACCTCGGTGGATTGCTGGTCCTGCATACAGTCTTTGAGAAGTTGGTCTTTGCGGAGCTGGAGCTTGTTACAGAGGGCGATTTGTACCCTGTTGTTGATCGGTTTTGGTCCTTCATTCCGAAGACACTTGCAGAAGCTCTTCCGAGTCTTTGGTTTCAAGTTTCCTTCATCGCATTGACGTACGAGTCAAGCTCAGATAGTACACTCGCCGTGAATGTTGTGTCAGTGGCCAGCAGCACGTTTGTTGTGGGCAGGTCGCTACACTTGCAGTTGCAGACTTTGGCTAAATCGTGGCAAACCAGTACATGTTCGTTCTTGACCGGCCGGCATATGTTGCTTAGCTTCGCAGCCTGGGCGTTATCATTCTGCGTTTTCTCCGTCTGCTTGATCCGACTTGCAGGTCTCCGGATCTGCCCCAGTCATGTTCATTCGCTTGTTCATGGCGGATGCTTCGACTTTGAACGTCAAGATGGCTAAGCTAGGGGAAAGCCTGTGCACTGCGGCTTGCGCTGCAAGAAACAGCTCACAGCATGTGAAAACTAGTGCCGGGCGTGTCGGCGAAGTTCATCTTCAGCCGCCCTACTCCCTAAACCCTATCTATCCCCTATCCGCTAAACGCTAAACTCTGTCCCCTAAACCCTAAACCCTGGGATGTAACCTGCCATGCCTGCGTGAGCGAGTGTGTGAGTCGAAACCCTAAACCTTATCCCCTAAACCCTAAGCCCTAAACCCCAGAGCGACCGGTTCTGCTGATGGAGGGCATGACAGAGAAAAAGGACACGTATTTAGGATCTGAGCCGAGCTCTTTAATGGGTTTGGAATTTAGGGTTTAGGTCTAGGGCTTAGGGTCTAGGGTGTGGGGTCTGGGGTGTAGGGTGTCGGGTTTAGGGTTTACCAAACAGTTTGGTGTCGGGACGCAATTGCCATGTTCTTGGTTGCATGCTGGACCGGGTCAGAGGCTGATTCTGGAGTTTGGTCGTAGCGGAGTTCTGAGCCTACTCGGACAAAGCACACACATGGCCATCGCAAAGTATTAGGATTGGCATGGCATCCTTGGTGTTGAAGGGGAGGGGGCAGCTGTCCGAAATGCACCGAAGTTTGTCTTCTTCTGATGAGCAGGTTTTGAAGCGCAATGCCAAGCAGCTCACAGGCTTCTCGCAGAAGGCGGGCTGCCGAGACTGGTGTGTTTTGATTGCACTGACTTAGAAGTGCCTTGAACGCCGAACCTAGATCCGCGAAGGAATGCTGCGTCGCGCCGACCAATCCTGGCTGGAAGTACGCTGCTGGGCAGCTGTTCAGCCTCACTTCACAATGGACTTAATGTTGGATTTGGCGGCAGAGTGCCTGCATAGGGGACAGGGCTTTGGCCCAATGGTGGGTGGTTAACGGTCAACCGTCGCCTAGACAATCAAGTTGAGCATTCCAGCCAGGGTGAGGACATGTCAGCCCTGGAACGAGCTCCGAGGAACCATGGCCTGCGGCGAACTGCGACATGAGCTGTGGGCTTGCAGCTGAGTGCCCCTCCTCGCTTGCAACAAGAACATAAGGCTACAGTCCCGCAAAGCCAGGGAAGGATGAGGCCCATGGAGTTCGAGCTCAGGCAGAAGCTCACAGGGGCTCTTCGGTGCGGGCGGCTTGAGGCTTGAAAGTTTCACCTGTTGTGAGGTACGAGACGCGGAAGGTCGAGTGCTGGGATTTCGACAGCGGAGTGAAGCTGGACAGTACCTCTTCTCTCTTTCCGGCCTGCACATGCCTGCACTTTCGTTCATGCGATTGCAACAGAGACCAGGTGCGCTGTCAAGTCTGCGTCACTGCAATCACCACTACCCACGTGAGATTGCCGTCTTGACCTTTGCATCTTCTTGAAGTGTAGTCAAAACAAACATTTGATGTGTGTGTGTGTTTGTGGGTGCGTGTTTGTGTGTTTGGGCATGTTTCGCGGTATGTGTGTGCACAGCCAAACCATCCCTTCACGGCAGAGTTGATGGCCAGCCCTCTGCTACGGATTCAAACGAGCTGACTGTAGCCTGCCCAGAGTTTCGCAACTTCTCAGCTTCGGTGCATGCTTTGGAAGCCTTGCACAGTGATTTGGACATGTGAAGGGTTATGTACGTATTCTACGTGGTATGATACGGCAGTTCTGACTTTGTATCACACCGAAGTTCATGCCCACCTGGCACGCCGGCGATGTATCCCCGGAGGACGAGAGCATGTGCACACAGACGAAGCCCGACACCCTGCGCACGAAATGTGCGGAAACGCCCAAATGCGGTGTCTGCGAGGCCGGGGACGGAGACATTCGGGGTCACGGCGGGTTCGTGGAATTCTGTAGGGTCAATTCCAAAAGGAGAGATGTCCGTTCTTGGTGCGCCTGTTCATATTCCTGGACTCCTCTGCAGTAGACTAATGACGAATGTGCTCGAAGCTTGAGCAAGATGTCGCATGTGAGACCACGGCTTCGGAGGACACGGACTGCAACAAGGGCTACGTGGTGAAACAACTTGTCCCTGCTTCATGCCAAGGCTGCCGAATAGACGGGGAGGGGTTAGGGCGCAAATGACAACGATGGCAAAGCAGCAACCAGATTCTGCTACAGCCTACAGCTATTTTTTTTTCTGAAATGCCTCTGCGTGATGCCAGGCGAAAACTGCACCGTTGCAGAATGCTGCAACAAGGCTGGGAGATTGTGCAAGCCTTTAGCGATTTGGAATCGGGTCTTTTGAAGGTGGGTATACTTCCGGGAAAGGTGGACCCCCACAATTCTGAGCGTCTTCCGGCCTTCCTCTGTGCACTGCGGGCTTGCACTTGGTGTAGGTGTGCTCTGCTGCCGACTGCCCGGTCGGCACCGCAGTGAAGTTCCCGGCTCGCATTTGCGGCTTCTCGACTGCATAGTCCTGTGGCTGTTGTGATTTTTTCCTCAGAGTCCACAAGATGCTTTTGCCCGACTACTCAGTAGAGCGGGTGCGCTTAAATGCTCGATGAAGGAGTTTTGGGTTTAGTGCCAGTAGCTGCAACCTTGTTTTCGATACTGAGAGGGAGGCAAGCATCACTGCTGCCCGGACTGTGTCGTCGTGCTAGTGCAGCTTTACGGACGGACAGTGCCATGCTGTATTGCACCTAGCTGCGTAAAGTTATAGAATTTTCGAAATGAATGGAAGGCTTCTAATGGGCCTTCTGCCTGCTGTTCTGCTCCACTGCATTACACCCTGCATGTCCACACCATTCCACGCCCAATCCGAGATGGCATGACCTGTGCAGAGAGCCTCGGCCGCAAGAGGCATGATCGAAGTCCCTGGGTAGTCATGAACCGGAACTCTCCTGTCCTCGATGCCTCGAAACGACTTGTAGCAAGACGACTCTACCGGAAGGGATGTGAAGACGAGAATCTTCTAAATGTCGGCGCCTACCAGGCTTCACGGTTTTTGCAGCTTTAGCCCAGTCTCATCTTGCACTGACCTTTCTCGGTCTTCAAGAACACCTTGTGGTGCCTTTGGCCGCAATGTAACAAGAGTTTTCATGAGTGTTTCACACCCACCCCAAACCTCTCAACCAGAAAGTTCAACAACATGCCGGGAGAGATGGGGACGGTTTTCATTTATTAGGGCAAAAAAACCCTACACCCGAGACAGTTGTGAGTGTTGCAACCCTGAGACCCCAAAGCCCAAAGTCGAAACCCTCACACCCAGGCCCTAATCCCTTACACTCTAAACCCCAAAGTAGGTAAGTAGTTCTCGCATGCCTCGTCCCCAGCCTCGCCTGGCGAGTCTGAGTGTACGAGTCCAACCCAATCCTACAGGTCAACTCTCACTAACTCTACCACCGTGAACCCTAACCCTGAACCCCAGACTGGTGAAACTCTGCAGGGCGGTGTGCTGTGGGCCCACCGAGTGGAAGATGGAGAGTTGGCCCAAGACGCCCAGCTGCTCCAACGAGTGCGGAGAGCCGGAGCAGCTCCTTGGTGTCGGACAGTTCGTTGTAGTCATGGAACTTTTTTCGATTGTTATGCAACTACGTATCGTGTGGATTGCTACTATTGGTAATATCATCATTATTGTTGCTGTGCATATCAATATGTGTACGGCGATGAACTTATTATCTTCGCCATAATGATCATTGTTGTCGTCACCTGCTTACTTGCCTGTATTGCTAGTAGCCGTATCGTTTCTGTGCTTAGCGTTATTGTCATTATTGTTACTGGTGTTGTTGCTTTTATTATTGTATTGCAACCTTATGACTTTAATCACCACTGCCATCTTTGCAACTAGCTGTTATGATTTGACTCCTGCTGCTGCTATTAATTATCCAATGGTCGAAATCGTAGTGCTTATTGCGAGTATCAATGCAAGCTGGTTACTTGGACTACTACGACGCCAACGACGACGATCAACACTGCCTCGACCGCCGCCACCACCACCAGCACCGCCACCAC